TAAATCATTTATTTTTATTTTTATTTATTTATTTTCTCCCCCAAAGCCCCAGTAGATAGTTGTATGTCATAGCTGCACCTCCTTCTAGTTGCTGTATGTGGGACGCGGCCTCAGCATGGCTGGAGAAGTGGTGCGTCTGTGCGCGCCTGGGAACCGAACCCGGGCCACCAGCAGAGGAGCGCGTGGACTTAACCGCTAAGCCACGGGGCTGGCCACTCTAAATCATTTTTGAAAGAGGAAAGCAAAAGTTCATTCACAATAGACTAAGTCCTAAATGCAAAAGATAATAGTACAAAGTTAATACCAGATAATATAGCAGAATATCTATATGACCTATTAGTCGGGAATTATTTCTTAAACTAAATTCGCAAACTGGAAACTCTAGAGCCTTGGGGAAAAGTAGCCTATAGGGTGTCATTCCCCTGACCCTCCACACACACATAGATAGTTCTAGGTAAACAAGGGTGTCTGAGGGTGCTGGTGCCTCTTGCTCCCAACCTTCACCCCGAAGGACTCGGCCCTACATAGAGTCTTGTAACTAGGTTGGTTTCTGCTGGGCAGGGGTTCTGGGTTCTCCATCCCTTGGGGGACTGGAGCGGGCATGTCTAGGTCGGGGGGCAGCACAGACTATTCCACTGTTTTGCTTCTGAATCAAACGGCACAAAATTTATGGTTGTTTTGCAAAAAAAGAATAATAAAATAAAAGTAAAAGTAAAAATTGCTCAATTTATTTTATAAAATTATGGCTTTCTCTTCAATCAGGTATTGAACAAAATACCTGTTCAATACCTGTTTTGTTTTACTGAACAAAATTAATGGGTGAAAAATTGACAGAAGTATTTGGCATTCTAAAACTAAAATAAATATGTTTTTAATACATATATATAAAGAGTAATAAGGGAAGGTGTTTAAAAGAGTGCTGAATGAAATACATTAATAAAGGAAGCATACGTATAATATCTTTTGTTGAAATTAAAGTTCTACTCAAAGTAGTCATTAAAGAAATGAAGATAAGACAAGATCTCATTTTACACCACCAACTTGGCAAAATCAGAAAGCTGCAGAAGCCCAGTGTTTGCAGGGATGTGAGATAGGTGGCATTCCCCAAGCATTGGTGGTGGTGAAGTAATTCTGGAGAATTTGCAGCAGTATCTTGTCTCATGATGCGCATGTTGACCCTGCAATTTCACTTTCGAATGTGCATAATAGAAAATACCCAGCTCCAGAGGGAACATATAGAAAGATGTTTATCACAGCATTTTTAAGGTAGTGAGGTGTTGGAAGCATGTTAGATGTTCACCCCTATGGCAACACGTAAGTAAATGCAGTAGATGCACACTACAGGATTCTGTGCTGCAGGTAGAAACAACAGACTAGACACAGAGTAATATAGAAGGTCTTTAAAAGAGTGCTGAATGAAATACATCAATAGATGAAGCTTACAGTATTATAACTTTTGTTATGGAACTTAAAATTGTACACATCAAACACCACCACATTTTTTAAGAACACATAGAACAGAAGGATAACACAGTAGTACATTAGAATGTGGTGAAGAGAAGGAAATGGGGATAAATAAATAAAAGAGTTTACAGAGGAGGTCTGCTCAGACCAAATGAAATCCATGAGACTTTAAATGGAGAAGAATGATTAACTCAGCAATCTGCACTTACGATTACAAAGGCAAAACACAACACAATAAAGCAAACATTGAAAAATATTTAATGATGCTCTACGGCATAGAGACTGAACTGGGATAATGGGTTGCACCATGGGAAATCCTTCTCAGGGAAAAACCATAAAAATATATAATATTTTATAAAACACTTATATTTGTAGGCACAGAATCAAAATATCTGCAACATCAAAACCCTCTGGTTGAAAATGTCAGAATTGTTGTAATCATTCAAGGGTACAGATTGGGATAAATGTCTATGCTGTGCCACTAGGTGATAGCAGAGATTAAAACAAAGTTTCAGCATTCTAGCTATTACTACAAAATTAGAAGCCCCCCAAATCATCAAGCAGCTTAAATTCATGCTTAAATTCACAGTAAATTGTTAGTTCTAAAAATAATTGAAAATGACTTACATAAATATGCACATAAAATTAAAAATATATCAATAATAATATGGGAATAGAATCAAAGGGAATTTATAGCTGGTAAAATACGATGAAGCCAAGAATGGAGTAAATTTTAAAAAGTGTCATTAAACCCTATACACTGGTTATATGTGGGTTGCAAATTATTAGAGGACATTCAAATGTTAAGACAGGATTAATTACATATTCACAGTGTTTAGAAGACATAGACAAATAAGTAGTTCAGGAAAAGGGTATCTATTGCTTGTCCTGAGCCCACAAAAAAATTTCTCTCATCAGTTCTTATAAAGAAGAAACTATTTGATTCAATGAACAATGTTCTTAGGAAAGTTCATTCAATAAATTTTGCGAGGTTCACAGGTCTGTTTTTTTAAGTCTGTTAGCATAAGGTGATCATATCAGCCTAAAGCAAAAAATGGGGAAAATAACTCTGCACAACATCTCATGATCTGGTCCAGTGTGTCACTCTTTGATATTCTGGCAATCTCAAAAGCATATTTTACATTATCTGTAGGAATGAATAGGCTCTAAATCTCACATAAATTTTGCTTATGTTGAACTAATATAATTATTTTTGAGCATCAGGGACTTTTAGATTATGTACTCTAACATAAACCTTATGGATAACAGTTTTTTATAATCTGTTAAATGCAGAGCAGTACCTTTAATAATTAGTTGAGCTATGGGTGGAATTACCAATTGGAAAGTTTTTGTCGCTCTTGGAGATCTACTGAAGAACTGTTGCTTGAATCTCAGGTTTGCTCCCAGAAGGCTAACACCCTTAGAGAGTACCAAGATTCTTCTTGAGGTATAATTTTGGTTCTGTTTTTAAGACATAGGCTCTGGTTTGCCTAACTACAACTCTTTCCATCCCCAGTGCATAACCAATTCTATCTCAGAGAGAATGTCAGATACAACTTAAGACAAGAAAATATTTAAAACACGTATGAGCCCTAATTTGGGTACAAAGTGTCCTGAGGAAAAAGCACCTATGGTTTTGAGCTTTGAACAATATTATTTCCAGGTTACCTATTCAAGTGAAATTGGTTACCAACTACACACTGACGTACCCAAATGGATAGATGAATTGCCAAATGGGGTTATACCACTGATTGTCTCCCAGAATATATTTCCGCTTCCTCTAGAATAAATCAACCCTCCAAATATTAGCTGAGCAGAAGAAAAGCTACATCTCTTAGGCACCCTTTTAGGTGGTTGGGTTTATTTTGACAGCAGTCTGACCAATGGAGTGTACAACTTCTACAAAGTGGATCTGAAGCAGTGGGAGGTGTATGTGCTCCCTTCTCTTTATTGCTGGCTAAAAGGTGGGCTTGGTCGAAAGACCTTTGGCAACCATCTCAGAGGACAGAATGACCTTTGGAATGAGTATGAAGCATGGTAAAGACCAAAACAAAACAAAGCAAAACAAAAGTACAAAAAAAAACAAACTAAAGAGAAAACTAGCAACCAAGTCCCTCACAGGTGGAATGCCAGAACAACCCCGAATTGCAAACTCCCAGTCTCTTCACAGCACAGAGAAATATAACTACATCTTTTTAAAGATACTGTTCATTTGAATTTTCTGTCACTTGCAGCTAAACTTGATCTCCAAAATCCATGTTGTTGGCCGAATATCAATTAAAGGTTGACAGCTTTGGTTCATGAAATGTGAACTTATAGCTCTTTATTTTTCTCACTGTAATGACCTATATGGATATTTAATTTTTGCTAAGGCTAAATCAAATTTTTGACAATGGCACCCATGTTATCGCTATATAAATTCATTATTATCTGTATATTTTCTAAAATTAGGGAGAAAATGCAACCAGCCATTCTAAGATTTGTATGAAAAGAAGCATGTTAGAAATCAGAGTTAACTTCTGGGGATATGGTAGAGTGAAAAATTTCATAACTCACTTTACCAAGATGAATTCAAACTAGAAAATGTACCTTCATCTATATTGAATGTAGGGAAGAGTTGTAACTTAAAACAAAAACCAAGGAAGTTATAATCATAGTTGGAATAAATTTTTGGCACACATTTTCATTAATTTTGATAAGATGAAAGACTGATGTCTGTAGTTTAGGGGAATAAATTCAATTCAGGAGACAATTAACAAATGCTACTGGTGCCTTTGTTAGAAGGCAACTATGGAGGAAAAAAATATCATGGAAAAAGAGGATAAATTAATGTGTGAGAAACTTTTGGTGGAGCCAATGCAAATGGACTTTGGCTTTAGAAATTAGGGCATGACTACATGACTTTTGACATTGTTGGTGTGCAGTGGCCTATATGGTTCAACATGACTGATTTTATGTGTTGTATAAGGGCCTCTTTACTGCTGTCGCCTGGACAGGTAGCTGTAGGTTTTTTCATCTAACGTCCATTTGAGGTTTCTACTGTGACAGATTGCTATTGCTCAGGATGGATTTGTCCAAGTTAAGTGGCTGTTTTTATATAGAGGAGTGTCTTAGGTCAGTTTCTCAGGAAACAAACTCAGATGGACATCTATATGTAGAATGTTTATTAGGAAGTGCTCTCAGGAACAACACCTGTAAAAGAGCGAGGGAAGCAGAACTGAGCAGAGGGAGAGGTGGGAGTTTGAGGTAGTTACAGCAGAGGATTTATTCAAGCTCACAGAGAGTTCTGGACCTAGGCTGGCCTTTTAGATAGTTCCTAGAACAGATAATGAGTCTGTACCTTTTTATTCCCACATTTGATGTGTGCTCTCCCCAGGGAAGAAACATTCTCTCAGACAAAACAACTCTTTCCACCTGAAGACAATTCCTGGAAAGGAACCTATCTATGAATAGTCAGTAGCTAATACTCTGCTAAGCTGGGGGAATGAGCAGATTTATCCTGACAAGGTTATATTGGTGACTTGCCACAGGATCCACTAGAGCAAGAGTGTGTTCCTTTGGAAGAAGAGCTTTACTTGATTGGCCTTAGATAAATGCACAGGTCTCACAAAGTCAGTACTGAAAATACAGGCCACAAGACCAAAGCAAATCTTGGGCAATGTTCATGAGATTCTATAAGCACTGACCTTCAAATAGGCTGCCTTAGCAGCAATGGCTGAGGCAAAGATTCAGTGAAAGGAAACAGATAGGTCTTAGAAATGGATTATTTTAAACATTAGGCAAAAAAAAAGTCATGGCAGTTTTTGCCTTGGCTTTCAGTAGACTAGGTAGGTAGCCCAGAGGAGATGCCTCAAATTTGGTTCCTCTCCTATATTATTTTGAAATGCTGTCATAGTCAAGAAGGAGACCTGGGAGGAAACTAACCTTGAATTCATGTGGCTTCTACACAGGCTCAGGAGTCACCTCCCACTATATAGTCACAATTTGTCTATACCAGCTCTTTTATTGCCTAGATTTGTGAGACACAAATTGTGACTTCACTGATGGAGGGAGAGTAAGTTTTATTAATAAACATTTAAAAAAGGAACAGAAAGACTTCTGCTTCTAGAAATGGTAGACTACCTAATTTGGATCAACTCTCTAGTCAAGGACAACTAGAAAAATCAAGACACATATAAAATAAAATCTGCCTCAAAGCATTGAATAACCTACAAAGGAGAGTGTATTCCTAGGTCAATATCTGGGAGAAGACAGAAACTCAGAGAGATGAGCCCTGTATTTGGGGTTGCTTTTATACCAGGAGCACCTGCTGATTCTACACGAGGCAGCTAAAGAGATTGAGAAGCTAAGTGAATCTTTCAGCAGATTCATAAATCTTCAAAGATATAAATGAGGCCTGAATTTTCGGTTGTGGCCTTAAAGAGCTGCATCCTAGGAGTAAGTGTGAAGCAGAACAAGAGTAACCTTTGCGGAGACCGTAACTAAGTTTCAAATTATCTTAATCTCTGAAATTAATAAGGTAATTTTGTATTGTCAATGCCCCTAAGTGATTCTGAAGGAAAATAACATTATTCTGAGCCCCAAATCCTTTCTATATTTTTTAAATGGAAAGGATCAAAATTCTAAGACAAAAACAAAAAAAAAAATAAAACATCACCCAGAAACCTAAAGAGACAAGGTAAAATGAACAAAACTTTTAAAGAAAAGGACAACAGAGAGCAGACCCAGACTTACCAGGGTCCTAGATAATGGAGTTATCAGGCACAGACTTTAAAACAAGTAGGCTTAACAAGCTCAAGGAGAAAAAAATAAGATGGAAAATTTTCGAAGCCATAAGGAAAGAACAAAAGGAAATTCTTTAATAGAGAAATAAAATGATAGCAGCTAAAAAAAATGAATTGATGTAATAGCAAATAGGGCCCTGCTGAAGAGGGAATTTGTGAACTGGAACCTAGATTAGAATATATCCAGGATAAATTTTGGAGGGCCAAAAGTTTGGAAAATATAGAAAAGAAAAAGTATGCAATTGAGGAAATACCATGAAAAGGTCAAACATATGTTTATATCTGAAGTCACAAAATGACAAAAGAGAGAACGGAGTAGATAATGGTTGAGATGAAATAATGACTAAGAACTCTGCAAAATAGAAAGTGAGGTTCAAAAATTCCAATGAATCAGAGCAAAAGGAACAAAAAGTAAGTCATACCAAGCACATCATAGCAAAACTACTGAAAACTAAAGACAAGGAGAATATGTTAAAAATAGCCAGAGAAAAGAGACTCATTTCCTAAGGAGAAGCAATAATTAGACTAACATCTGACTTCTCAAAAAAAAAAAATAGCAGCCAGAAATTAACATAATGTTGTTTTCAGCAACCTAAGGCAATAAAAGTGAAGATCTATAACTCTAAACTCAATGAAAATATTCATCACAACTGAAGGTAAATACTTTTTTCACAGGAACAAACTGGAGTAATTTGTCACCATACAAGGAAATGCTGAAAGGTATTCTTTAGGGAGAAGGTACACTACTACAAAGGGATAGAAAAACTAATTATGATGTTGGAAGTCAGGATAGAGGTTATGTTGAGGGATGAGAGATGGAGTAATTCTGGGAGTGGCATAAGGAGTCTTCTGAGGTGCTAGTGAGATTCTGCTTCTTGACCTAAATTGCATAACACAGGTGTGTTCTCTTTGTGATAAGTCAATGATCTTTATAATTATGATTGTGTACCTTTTTGAATGCTCATTATACTCCAGTAGAAAGTTTAAGTAAAGATAGGAGGTTTTGAAACATTTATTGCACACAAATTTTTTCAATTGGTGAAAAACAACTAGATTCTGGTTGTCTTTTTAAAAAGCCTCGTATGGATTATTTTTAATTTATACTGAAATTCTTTAGGAATGAAAAAATTAATCTGATGAATAAGAAATGAGTAAATAATCAGCAAAGTTATCAAATGTTAATAGCAAAAGGAAATGAAAATTCCTTAATACTTGAATACATAATATGTATCAAAAAATTAAATATAATTAAATTATAGAATTATGTGGGATTATGACTGTAGGAAAATATTGTCATGCTTAATGACCATATAATGTTGGTCAGTCAATTTTTGGCAGGGCAAAGTCAAGCATACAGAGCATCATCTAAGAAAATGTACCAGTATTCTCTTCATTTGACAAGGATTATAGCAAATTATGACAAATTATGGCAGAACATTTATGCAGAAGACTAACATTAACAACAAATAATATAACACATTACATAGGGAATGAAATACAAAACTAAGCAATTAAGATTTTGGTAGATGTGATCAATCAAATAATTTTAAATAACGTAAGATATGCTAAATATTTTCCTCTAAGGTTTGATAATATAGCCTCAGATATAAGCCAGGTACAACAAAAAATTATTAAATTTATGTATTTCCAAATTTATATAATTCCACATGAAGTATTTTTTGTGTGTTAAAGAATTTTCCCACTACATGAATGACTGGAAATTACATAAATCATTCCTCGGCAAGTTACAAGAACTGAATACAGAGAAAAAGGATTTGAAGAGTCAGACAGATGACAGTGCCACCATACATGGAAACTGTAATCAATAACATTTGAAGATCTTGAAAAAATTCTATGACATTCTCTGTTCTTTGATCTGTGCACCTTGTTTTAAGAATTTTGGTAGTAAAAGATAGTACAAGTCTATCTTTAAGTAGTTTTAGAAAATGTGACACAGGAATAGTACTATTACTTTTAGGTCTCAACAAAACTTTGGAGTGTATTGAAAACATAAATACATATAAAATTAAAACCATTATCGATGTTTTTTAAAATGTTTTATCAAGGCAATATTGGCTTATAACATTATGTAAATTTCAGGTGTACATCATTATATTTCAATTTCTGTGTAGATTACCTCGTGTTCATCACCCAAAGTCTAATTGCCATCTATGACCATATACATGTGCCCTTTTATCCTTAGCTTTCCCCTCTTCTCATCTGGAACCACCAATCTATTCTCTGTGCCTTTGTCTGTGTTTTTTTTTGTTGTTGTTGTTTTAAATATTCCTCATGAGTGAAATCATACAGTATTTGGCTTTCTCCATCTGACTTCTGTTGCTTACCATCATGTCCTCAAGGTATATCCATGTTGTTGCAAATGGTAAGAGTTCATCTTTTTTATGGCTGAGTAGTATTCCATTGTGTGTGTGTGTGTGTGTGTGTGTGTGTGTGTGTGTGTGTATATATATATATATATATATATAAGATGTGTTATCAATTTATCCATTGATGGATGCTTCTATTGTTCCCAAGTCTTTCTTATTGTGAACATAGAGGTTCATATATCTTTTCGAATTAGTGATTCTATGTTCTTTGTATATATACCCAATAGTGGAATAGCTGGATCTGATGGTATTTCTTTTCATTTCATGAGAAATCTCCATACTATTTTCCATATTGGCTACACCAGTTTGCATTTCCACCAGCAGTATATGAGGGTTCCCTTTTCTCCACATTCTCTCTAATACTTGTTATTTCTTGTCTTGTTAATTATAGCCATTATGATGGGTGTGAGGTGATATCTCATTGTGGTTTTGATTTGCATTTCCCTAATGATTAATGATGTTGAACATCTTTTCATGTGCCTGTTGGCCACCTGTATATCTTCTTTGGAAAAATGTATATTCAGACCTTCTGCCCATTTTCTAATCAGTTTGTTTTTTGTTGTTGAGTTCTATGGGTTCTTTATATATTTCGGGTATTAATCCCTTATTATGTGTATGATTTGCAAATGTCTTCTCCCAATCAGTGGGTTGCCTTTTCATTTTGTTAACAGTTTCGTTTGCTGTGTAGAAGCTTTTTAGTTTGATGTAGTTCTATTTGTTTATTTTTGCTTTTGTTTCTCTTGCCTGTGGAGACATATTCAAAAAGATACTGCTAAGACCAATGTCAAAGAGTGTACTGCCTATGTTTTCATCTAGGAGTTTTATGATTTTGGGTCTTACATTCTAGTCTTTAATCCATTTTGAATTAACTTTTGTGCGTGGTATATGATAGTGGTCTAGTTTACTTTTTTATTTTTTATTCTTTTGTTTATTGTGGCAACATTGGTTTATAACATTGTATAAATTTCAGGTGTACCTCATTATACTTCTATTTCTGCATAGATTACATCATGTTCTCATGTTCACCACCCAAATACTAATTACAGTCCATCACCACACACATGTGTCTAATTATCCCTTTCACCCTTCTCCCTCCCCCCTTCCCCTCTGGTAACCACCAATCCAATCTCTGTCTCTATGTGTTTGTTTGTTGTTATTATCTACTACTTAATGAGTGAGATCATACAGTATTTGACCTTCTCCCTCTGACTTATTTCACTTTGCATAATACTCTCAATGTCCATCCATGTTGTCACAAATGGCTGGATTTCATTGTTTCTTATGGCTGAGTAGTATTCCATTGTGTATAAACACCACATCTTCTTTATCTATTCTTCCCTTGATGGGCACTTAGGTTGCTTCCAAGTCTTGGATATTGTGAATAACACTGCAATGAACAGAGAGGTACATGCATCTTTATGCATTGATGTTTTCACATTCTTTGGATAAATACCCAGCAGTGGAATAGCTGGATCGTATGGTAGTTCTATTTTTAATTTTTTGAGGAATCTCCATACTGTTTTCCATAGTGGCTGCACCAGTTTGCACTCCCACCAGCAGTGTATGAGAGTTCCCTTCTCTCCACATCCTCTCCAACTCTTGTTGTTTCCTGTCTTGTTAATTTCAGCCATTTTGACAGGCGTGAGGTCATATGTCATTGTAGTTTTGATTTGCATTTACCTGATAATTAAAGATGCTGAACATCTTTTCATGTGCCTGTTGGCCATCTGTGTATCTTCTTTGAGAAATATCTGTTCAGGTCTTTTGCCCCTTTTTTTAATTGGGTTGTTAATTTTTTGTTGTTGAGATGCCTGAATTCTTTATATATTTTAAAGATTAATCCCTTATCAGATATATGGTCTGCAAATATCTTCTCCCAATTGTTAGGTTGTCTTTTCACTTTGTTGATGGTTTCCTTTGCTGTACAGAAGCTTTTTAGTTTGATGCAGTCCCATTTGTTTATTTTTTCTATTGTTTCTCTTGCCCGGTGAGACATGGTGTTTGAAAATATGTTGCTAAGACTGATGTCGAAGAACGTACTGTCTGTGTTTTCTTCTAGAAGTTTCACAGTTTCAGGTCTTACATTCAAGTCTTTAATCCATTTTGAGTTAATCTTTGTATATGGTGTAAGGTAATCGTCTATTTTCATTTTTTTGCATGTTCCTGTCCAGTTTTCCAAACACCATTTGTTGAAGAGAGTGGTCTAGTTTAATTCTCTTGCATGTGACTGTCCAGTTTTACCAGAAAAATTTATTGAAGAGACTTTACTTTCTCCATTGTGTGTTCTTGGCTCCTTTGTAGAACATTAGTTGTCTGTAGATTTGTGGGTTTCTTCCTGGGCTTTCAATTCTGTTCCATTGATTTGTGTGTCTTTTTTTCCAGCAAAGATTTTATAGAAATAGAAATAAAGGAAGTAGGAAAGTTCTCTATTTGCTAATCAGCAGTGTCCCCACCCAGAACCCTATGGGTGCTGAGCCAGCAATTGTTCTTGTTTACAGAGAAAATGAAAATACAAGATACCAAAACATATGGGATGCAGTAAAAGCAGTACTAAGAGAAAAGTTTAAAGCAATACAGGTCTACCTCAAAAAACAAAAAAATTTCAAATAAACAATCTAACAACACACCTAAAGGACATGGGAAAAAGAAGAACAAATGAAGCCCAAAATCAGTAGAAGGAGGGAAATAGTAAAAATCAGGGCAGAAATAAATGAAATAGAGAAGATAAATACAACTCTCAACAAAGTGAATGTACAGATTCAGTGCAATTCCAAGTAAAATCTCAATAACTTTCTTCAAGGAAATAGAACAGAGAATTCTAAATTTATATGGAACAACGAAAAACTCTGAATAGCCAAAGCAATTCTGAGAAAAAAGAAAAAAAAACCTTACCTTTCTTGTCTTGATCTCATCCCTTGTGGTTTGATGGCTTTCTTTAGTATTAGGTTTGGGTTCCTTTCTCTTAAATTTTTTCTGTATTTATTATAGGTTTCTGGTTTGTGATTACCATGATGTTCATATATAATAACCTACATAGATAGCAATGTGTACTAAGTTGATGGTCTCTCTTGTTTGACCTCCTGCTAAAAGATGGTCTCTTTTACTCCCCTCCTCCCACATTTTACATTTTTGATATCATATCTAACCTCTTTTCTGTGCATGTGTATCCACTACCCTCTTATCATGGGGGTAGAAAATTTTAGTACTTTTGTCTTTTGACCTTCATATTAGCTTCATAGGTGGTTGATCTGTTATGTTTACTGTATCTTTACCTTTACCAGTGATTTTATTGGTTTTTGTTTCTTTGTTTATTTTCTTATTCCTCTGAGGTCTTCTCTTTTCCACTTACATAAGTCTCTTTAGCATTTCTTGTAAGGCTGGTTTCTTGATGATAAACTCCTTTAGTTTTTACTTGTCTCGGAAACTCTTTCTCTCTCCTTCCATTCTGAATGATAACCTTGCCAGGTAGAGTATTCTTGGCTGTAGGTTTTTTCCTTTCAGCTCTTTACATGGATCGTGCCACTCCCTTCTAGCCTATAAGGTTTCTGCTGAGAAGTCAGCTGATAGCCTTACGAGGTTTCCTTTGTATGTAACTTGTTGCCTTTCTCTTGCAGTTTTTAGGATTCTCTCTTTATCTTTAATTCTGGACATTTTAATTATAACGTGTCTTGGTGTGGGCCTCTTTGGGTTTATCTTGTTTGGTGCTGTCTGTGTTTCCTGTACCTGGATGTCTGTTTTCTTCCTTAGGTTAGGAAAGTTTTCAGCTATTATTTCTTCAAATAGATTCTCTTCCCCTTTGTCTCTCTCTTCTCCTTCTGGGACACCTATAACACAGATGTTAGTGTGCTTGATGTTGTCCCAGAGGTCCCTTCAACTGTCCTTGTTCTTTTTGTTTCTTTTTTCTTTTATCTGTTCAGCTTGGGTGATTTCCTCCAGTCTTTTGTGCAGCTCACTGATTCATTCTTCTGTAACATCTACTATGCTATTGAAGTCCTTCTAGTGAATTTTACATTTCAGTATATCATTCTTTATTTATGATTGATTCTTTTTTCTATTTTCCAGTTCTTTGTTGAAGTTCTCACTGAGTTCATCCGTTCTTCTCCCAAGATCAGTGAGCATCGTTATGACTATTAGTTTGTACCCTTTGTCAGGTAGATTGTTTACCTCTGTTTCATTTAGTTCTCTTCCTGTGGTTTTGTTCTGTTCCCTTACTTGGAACGTATTCCATTGTGTCCTTATCTTACCTCTTTATTTGTTCTTATATCTACGTATTAGGTAGGTCAGCTATGTCTCCCAATCTTGGAGAGGTAGCCTTATGTTAGAGACGCCTTATGAGGGAGGCCCAGCAGTGTGCTTTCCTCTTGTCACCAGTTCCAAATGTTCCAGGAGTGTCCCCTGTGTGGGCTATGTGTGTCCTTCTGTTGCGGCAGGGTTGCTTTCACTGCAGGTGCCATGGGAGGCTAGGCTGTCTCCCTGGCCAGCTGGTTGTAATGCTTAGCTGCAGGTGGCTGCTATAGTCCTTTCAGTCACTTTATCAGGCATGAGGATCCCCAGCACAGTTGGCAGCAAGGCCTAATAGCACATTCCTGTTGCAGTTTCTCTGTTAAATGAGTAAGCCCCCAGTATGGCTAGTTGCTAGGCTCTGGGGCTTACAATTGCTGTAGGCCTCTGGCCTGCAAGGCTGTTGTCAGCTCTCTCAGGACTCCAGCTGAGTGCGGCTGGCCCCAGGTATGGAGCACTCAATTTTTCAGGCTTTGGGAGGTGGCACTGATCCCCTATGTGGCTGTTTGAGAAGCACAAGTCTGATGCAGCTGAAAAGCCCAGTGTCCCACAGGTCCACACACCCCCTCAACACAGCCCTGCCCTGTGCACACTCCACGGCCCACTGAAGTGGATGCAGTCACCCCACTGCAGAGTCCTCACACACTCCACTGCCCCTCGTACACACCCTGCCTGAGAGAGGCAGACCCACTCACCCAGCTGCAGAGGTTCCTGGCACCCCATGTATGCAGGCCCACAGGTTGCCTGAGGTCTTGCTGTTGGGTGGAGCCAGTCCCTTGTACAGGCTGCCAGCCCCGGCTGAGCTAGATTAAATTGGTGCTATAGTGGTTGGGGCAGACCCTGGGATAACAGGTCAAGGGAATAACTCCAATGTTGTCTGCCAGTGTCTGTGTCAGCATTCCTAAACTAGGTCACAGTAAAGTCTGCTACCAATGTCTCAGTCCCTTGGGAGGTGGTCCCAGCCTGGGGAGGTCTCACCTCTCACTGAGATGCACCCAGAGCCTATCAAGTAAATCTCCTTTCCCCCAAGGACTGTACCCCTTTCTTTCTGGTGATTTTAGGTTGCTTTGTGAAGTGGGTGAATTTGTGCATGGGCCTTTTAAGATCAGGCTTTTTTTCCCTTATGTCTGAGAGTTTTTCTGGGAGTATTCCCTGATGTTGTTAAGATATTACGACACTTGTCTCAGTTGTGCTAAGTCCAAAAGCTGCTTATTGTGGTAATTCTCCCCCAATCGGATCTCCTACTCCTCAGGGGAAGGCTTCATACCTTAGGATTGCTCCCAGCTGGCTGTGAAGTTCCATGGCTGAAAGGTGGCATTTTTCAGTCCACAAAGGAATTTCTGCCTCTTCCAAATAGTCAGCATAGAATATCTCATTAAAATTGCATCAGTGAGCTAAACTATTTTCGCTTTATCTAAATTTTTAAATAAATATGAATAACAGCAAACCAACTAAAATAAAATTCATAGTGGATAAAATTGCACATAGTAACATTTAGATCAGTACAATTCAACTTGGGAAAATTGCATTTTGGTAGAAATAATGGATACAAAAGAAAACTCACAAAAGCAAAATCCTTACAGGTAAAATTCAACATTTAATTTGCCTATTAGTCTTTATCATGTATAATTTTTTTCTCATACAAAAAGAATTAATCTAATGAATATACTTTCAAAAATATATAAATAAAATTGGGAAATAGAAATTATTTAATGGGGTTTTAGAATAATGGAATTAAGTTGACTTAAGGGAATTTACTTGGTATACTTTCTCATAGATACTTTAATTGGGAGATTTAAGTAAAGTGACTCCCCAAAGCTGGAGAAATTCAGATTTTTAGATTACAAATGCAATGTACAGATCTCATTTAAAGCTGACCGTTAACTATGGAAAAACATGGGGAAAGTAGCCCAGAGTCAGACAAAATCCTCCACTTGCAGAAAGTCTTACTACAAAGCTCCCCACATCAATGGAATTTATTTACAAGGTACCAAGTTGAGTTTACCTGCTCTTCTTAAAGTGGTAGGTTAAGATAAGCCTCCCAACAGATGAACAGCTGTTACTACAGGTGACTGTCCATATCAGGCACTGGGGTTTTCATTCAGAATGGAGTGAAGCTGAGCAACATAAAATTTTCAGAGGAAGAGCTGCAACTTGATGCCTGTGAATGTTTGTATTTCACCACTAGGTCTTCCTGGGAGTTAAAAGTTAATGAACAGACTGTGGTGTGTTGAAGTTTTCCTATGAATAAAATGGATTTATTTTGTGTATATATCTTATTTGTTTGTTTGCTTGCTCCTAAAAACTTTCAGACACCCCTTGTGTCCTGCCTCGCACCTTCTCAGCACACATTTTACCCCCAGCCATTGCTAAGGCAACTGGTGACAGAACCTAACTTCTGTTGCATGGTGTATCTTTTGATTTTTGCACTAAGGCTTTTCTCATGATGTGGTTGAGACACCTGTGAGAAGCCGCTTATCACTTATGAACACTCAAAACTGCAAGACTGGGGGAATTAACACCCCATGCATCAGTCCTTGACTACTAGGAACTCGGGATCCATGGACAGTATTGAGGCATGATCTGCATGTTCATCAGAGAGTTCCAGTGGGATCAGATCCTGGTTTTCCATAGTGCTGACCACTCTGATAATACACCATTGTATTGGCTCTATCTCCTTTCCTGTTTTGCACTTCCCAGATACTCCTAGTATCTGATACCATGTCCCCAAATAAAGTCTTATCTATAAAGCTCCCCACATCAATATAGTTTACTTTGACTTTCTCTTCTTTCCTGTTTTAGAGTCTACTCTCTAGAAGGAACCTAAGCATAACAGACTACCCTGAGAAAAAATTTTTTCAGCACCCTGAAGTCTCCCTCATGGCTCTGCTTCCCAGTCAACATCTTTTTAAAGACAACA